CCCCAAAACCCCAAAACCCCAAAACCTCAAAATTAGAATCATTCCATTCTATAATTAAAGCATAAATAAATTTAAATATTAGAGGAATGTCAATAAAAATATAACAACCCCAATTAATCCAACCAATTTAGAGATCTTTAGTAAAGATTAACATTCTTTTTTTAATATATTTGTAATTAATCTTATCCGTTTAGGCTATCTAATTTTGCATTATTCTCTTCATTCTTATTAATCATATCACTTTGAAGATTAATATTGAGTGTTTATTGATGTTCATTGGTTTTTATATTATTTTTTAATTTTTACTGGCAATTATCATTAATTTGAGACATTTACAGTGAATAATTTTAATTATCAATATCACCTTAATCTAATAAGTCACTTTTTGATGATTACTCTGTAGATAATTTAAATGAAACATTTCCCTCTAACTCTCCTTAAATATCATTCTATTCCTATACAATTTACTTGCGGCAATCTGACTTCACTTCTTATATAATCGAATCATAATCAATCTAAATTGTATACTTTAGAGGTTCTTCAAATCTTAATTTTTCGAGAATCTTAATTTGGTTTATCAAAGCATTTTCAAATTTTCCATATATATTTAAATCAGGTTTTAGCTTAACTTTTTCATCATGGATCAAATCATAGAATTAGTACTTTCTCTTCGCTAAATCAAATTATAAACAAAGATCATGCCAAGGAATTTTCTATCCAATACTTAAAATGAGTAAAGAATAAAGAGCAGAGATCAAATCATCTCCTTGGCAGGAATATAAACCTTTCATTGTATGTATAGAAGCTGTGAATGGAGTGCCTTTAAGCATGACTTTTTTCATATCATCAAAGTATTCTTATTTAAATTGGTCAATTGAGCCGAAGTCTATGAGGTAAATATGATTTTCATTCTCTGATTTACTATTTTTTACCATAAAATTGTCTGGCTTAATGTCATTATGAATATAGTTAAAAGCGTGAAGACTTTTAATCAAATTTACTACTTCCTCCAATACTTAAATTTAACTTTCAATGCCAAATTGATCAACTTTGAGCTTATAGTATTAGTTTAAAGTTTACTCAAAGTAATCTAAAATTATGTATTATACTGTTACTTTTTAGAGCTCTTCACCTTTCTCTGATTTGATTTCAATCTAAAAGATCCCACTTCCATACATTTATGGTAGTCTAGGATTTTTTGACAATTAACTCTTCCTCATTTGCTTTTTATTGTTTTTCTTGTATTTTACGAAGAAATACTATTTCTCAAGTATGAGAAAGATTAGATCCACTTTATTTTTCCATCTTAAAAGCAAAAGCTTTTCCATCTTTTTAGTATTTGCAAACAATCCCATTTGTACCCTCGCCAAGAATGCTGCTAAATTCATAGCCCTTAATATTCTATGGTGGTTGAAATGATCTTTTCATCTAGTTTTATTTTTGATCAATTTATAATGAAAAGTTTAATAAATAATTATGCTTTCAACTTTATAATACCTTATTAGTAATATTGGGGTTTTGGGGTTTTGGGGTTTTGGGG